GCAAAGAAGGGCAAAGGTAAAAATTTAGCCTAGCTTAATCTGTTTCGTCCTGAGGTGTGCATGACTCGGTCTGATCCAGATTTGACTTAGGACCGGATCAAAGTAAAACGAAAATTGAGGATTAGAGTCTAAGCTAAAGCAATTGTGATTGTGTATTTGGCTAACTATGGGCTTCCTTTGTAACTTGCGCAGCTGCGAAAACTGCAATGAACTTGTTTAACCATACGGCAGAGGCAAGCGCTAGGGAGAAAGAACTGATGAAGGCGTGTACTGATCCACAACTATTTGCCGCAATAATTGGGAACGTAAAGATCAGTGCTGCTGGGTTGTCGCAGTTGAAGCAGAAGCAAAAGAAAGGGAAGAAGAACGACAAGAAGGATAACAAGTAGTAAAACCAGCAGGGGCTTTTGTTGTTCTAATACTTGAACTGGATTGCGTGTATGCAACAAATGACAGATTTTGTTGTGGGAAATTTGGTTGAAAGAGAGATTTCTATTACTATCATTCATAAGTACAAAGTGCATATACGATTTACCAACTTATTTGCAATCTTTGCACTGGAAGTGGGATGCTTGGCGCTTATGAATGATCTCAAATTAGGCGCATTTTGCATTACAACAGAGGAAAAAGGAGACAAGAATGATCAGTCTTCCTCTGGAGGAAGCTCGCCCAGGTCTAAACCTTCAGCAGGCATGTCGGACGTCAATGGCCCAAGTATCCCATCGGAATTTAGGGTCAGTCCACTCTGCATTACGAAAAGAATGCAAAATTGTGTTAAATGAGATTTCTTTCTCAGCTCCTATAGGTACTGATCTGGTAATGAAGTTGCAACTGCACATTATTTACTCTTACCTCGGGCTGAAATCTTAACATATCAGCTCGTGCCATGGCTTCCGCTTGAGCGATTCTCTGCCGGAATGTCTGAGCCATCTCCTCAGCCTGTTGAAGTATTTTTCAGAGGATAAGGATCCTGTGATCCGAAAATTGATATACCGAAGTGGCTAACACGAAGCAGAAACCTTCAAGTAAGTTCCCAGTATTACCTTCTCAAAGACGAGCTTGGGATTGCGAATCATATCGCCAGGGGTGGGCTCCAGCTTCTTGGTAGAAAGACTCACACGACCTCTCTCACGGTCATGGCTTAGAATCATGACCTGGATGACAAGAAGCCTTATTGCGTCTCTCTCGGGAAGGAATAATGAATATGATGACTATGCAAGTATCAACCGATGACTATACTAACCTTGAGAGTGTCCCCAGGTTGAAGAACAGTTGCAATGTCAGCCACACGATCGTGACTAATCTGACTCACATGGAGAAGGCCATTGATTCCACCGATATCGATAAAGGCACCGTACGGTTTCAGACTCTGCACCGTTCCAGTGACCACCGATCCAATACCGAGCTGCGCTTGACTATCAGCCATGGCCTTCCTGTTGCTGAATACAAGTCTAGACTGTTCCTCATCGACATCAACAAACTTCAATGGTAGCTCCTTATCTAGGAGCTCATCCGCTGTTAATTTCTGCAGGGTAAAAGTCGAAACTTCGAATCATGGGATGATCAAGCAATCCTTCAAATTGAGCTTCCATTGACTAATAAACCACAGAGGAAATGATAATGTGCAACCACAGAATCCAGCCCTAGACATGTTAAAAGGATTATCCATAATGCAGAAAACTCACTGATGAGATCTGCGAAAATGGTACGAATCCTCGAATGCCCTCCACCACAGCAACCACTCCTCCTTTGTTTGCTCCAACAACCTGCAAAAGACAAAATTAACATTTTCCCACACTGGTTTGACAATGAAGCACAGCAAAATTCAATAGTGGGAAAACTTCAAGAGAGCCGAAGATCGAAGTTACTCACCTTACCCTTCACAATGACATCCTCAGCTTGAAGCTGCTTACACCTTTCCCAAGCGAGATCATACTGAGTCATCCTCAAGCTCAAGATCAAGCTATCATCGTCCTCATTCTCACCCACGATTACGAACTCTTCCCTCATTCCAGGCACTATGCCAGCTTCCTCCACATGCTTCAGCTTGTGAATGGACGCCTCTTGCAGTGGCAAATACGCGGAAGACTTCGCAGTGATGTCGACGAATGCGCCATTTGCGTCAGTCATGAAAACCGTTCCCTTCACCTGAACAAGAACATTTGGATAAAAATCCCTACACATTAGATTCTAGAGCTTGAAATTCGCGCATTTCAATCAGGAAAAAGAGCGGAGGGAGAAGAGGAAGGGAAACCTTGGTGCCAATCTCGGAATTGAAGTCGTAGTTGTCGAGAGCAGCGATGAAATCCTTTGCGGTGAAGGGAACTCCTGCCATGGGAGCGGTACGGCAGCGCTCGTAAGCGTCCTCGAAGAGCTGCTTGAGCTCTTGTCGCTCTTTGGTCTGTGCATTTGATATGGTGGCGGCCGAAACGATGAAATTGGACTTTCTGCTGCAACGAGAAGTCGGCAAGGAAGAAGCTCCGAGGGCGGAAGCTCTTCTGGCGAGGTGAGAAGTCGAGAGCGGCGGGCATCGGAGTCCGGCGAACTGCTGCTGGGCGATTGACGCCATTGCTAGCTCACTGTTGCTGGTTTCCTTTCCCTCTGGTTCAGAGTTTACGTGGATGGCTTCCAGTTTCTGTTTTTCCGCTCAGCCGGATAAGAAAATGATGAGATATTGAGATTAGACCGCGAGACTTAACTGGGTTTGGGCTTTGCTTTGTTGCACCTATTTCAATGGGCTTCAGTCACGGCCCAGTAACAAATACGGACTGACCCGAGTAGCTCACAAGTTGCTTGGCATTCGCCTCGAGAAAAACTTGTTTAACACTTTGTTCGTTCACTTACGAATTGAGCTAGAATTAAGATTTATTGAACTCCCGAGACTCATAAGTAAATTCGATTTGGTGGTTTGTTAATTTCAACTCATAAGCTAGCTCGTTTTGAACTCATTAGCTAGCTCGATAATATGGTTATTGAGCTCGTTTGACTTCCGGCTCGTCAACTAATCGATATGAACTTTTGAATTGATTCATGAGTAGACACAATTATTAGCCAAACTTTTCGAACATGTCAAAGCCAGATCTTTCAAAATAAAAAGGGTAATGTTTATTTATTATCCAAACATTTTTCAGATTATTTTATATAATCCAAACCTATCGAAATACTAAGAATTAGCCAAATGTTAACTTTTAGTTAGCAATTTTGTTAGTAATATTGACTTGGCAACATGATACTGACTTGGCTAGGGGTGTACATGGGTCGGGTGGTCCGGGTTTAGGCATTTTAATCACCCGACCCATGCACTACGGTTTGGGAAATATTAAACCCAAACCCACCCAAAAAAATCTAAACCCTACGGTTTGTTTCTAATTGGGTTGGGTCGGGTTGGCGATATTTTTAAGTAAAAACCCAACCCAACACAAAATATGTAATTATGCTACATCATAAAAATATTTTATAACAAATTAAAAATTCAAACGAATAAACCGAGGTGAAAGGTATCAAAATTCACAAATATTGTTTGAATTTTAATAAAACTTGATTTACTTCAACTTATGTCTAGTTTTTTTCACGACATTTGTTGAAATGGGCTAAAAAGGTTACAAATGAACACATCCATAATATGAAATTCTTTTAAAATTGTACACAAAAAAAAAAACGTGAATCATGGCTATATTAAATATATGTCTAAACTTTAAGTCGAAGAATGCATTAGATTAGTGAGACTTTAAGAGAAAAATATGGTGAAATATCTTAATTTTCTCATAAGTATGACTATATACGACATAAATATTTTTTTGGATACAAACTCGTACCAATAATTGGAACACGGGTTGGGTCAGGTTCTACGGGTTGTGTAATCCAAACCCAACCCAAAAGAGGCGGGTTGTACAAAAGAAAACCCTCACCCAACCCAAAACCTTCAATTTAGCGATAAATACGGGTGGGTTGGGTCGGATTGGACGGGTGGGTCGGTTTGCGGGTGTGTTTGTTCACCCCTACTTGGAAGAATCACATGAAGATAGGGATGGCAACAAAACCCGAACCCACGGGTACCCACCCGACCCAACCCGGTCAATGCGGGTAAAATCTGTGTTGACGGGTTTTGGGCCGGTTTTGGGTTTAAACCCGTTCACTATTCACCGGGTTGGGTTGGGTTTGGGTTTAGGTAAACCCGGCCCGTGGGTACCCGCCCACCCATATAATTAATTTTTTCGGTATATTTAATATTCTAAACAACTAATCTTGTTTATGTTTGTGGAGACATGTCTAATTTTTTCTTTTTAATTGTGTAAAATGAAGTTGATGTTATGGAGTGGAGAGTAAAGAAACTTAATTGAAAGGAAGAAGCTTTCAATTAAACATGTTATTTATGGATAATTTGTGATTTGCTTCAATTTTCTTGAGTTTTCTAGATTGGTGTTGAACAATTTGTATAGTTAATTTGTGATTTGCTTGAATTTTCTAGAATGGTGTTTTATATATGGATAATTTGTATTGAGAGATTGATATTTGACTTTAATTTTGATAAGAACTTGTAATTGTAAATTTTTACGACAAAACCCGTGGGTACCCATGAACCCGCGGATACCAAACGGGTTGGGTTGGGTTTGAGTTTTTCAAACCCAGTGGGTTTTACCCCGGGTTTTTTTCAAAGATAAACCCATGGGTTTGGGTTTGGCAAAACCCGACCCAACCCGACCCATTGCCATCCCTACATGAAGATCAACATTCCAAAATTTTAGTATTTTAACTAAGAAAAGAGTTACAAAATTATTAACGACAACGTAAAAATGGCTAATAATTTGAGGCATTATGATAGATTTAGCTAATCAATAGAATTTTAATAGGTTTGGATAATATAAAAAAATTTGAAAAAAGGCTAGGATAGAAAATAGATATTAGCCAAATAAAAAACATGGCATGTGAACTGATCAAAGAAGCGACGCCGTTTCAATGAAAGCACTCCGGTCCGGGTCGAGAGTGCTGGAGAGTTTCGTCGACACTGATTAAGGAAAGGACTCCATCTCTCGGGAATGGCAAACGGCTGAAGCGAACAGCGACGGGGATTGACGAAAGAGACGACCGCAGAATCCTGACGAGATAAGCGAAATCCAGAAGCTTACTCTATCGTCGAAGATCTCTCGAGCTGGAGGAGAGGAGGAAAGCAGAAGAGAAGGTGGGAAGATAGCCTTAGAGCATTGCCGCAAAAGTTTTCTGCTTCGCGCGTCTGAGTTTGCTTTCGATCCGCAAAAGGTTCCGTTCTCGTATAGATTTCGATTATGGCGTTGCAAAGTGGGGAATTATATTGGAATCAACTGTTAATCGTCAGTTGAGAATCGTGTGTTAATTTCAATTCGAAAACTCCGGCAGTTGAGGTTAGTAAAGATAGCTGCGGTGTTGGCCTTTGATTCTTCGAGTTCCTTGTTTAGCTCCGACCTTGCAACTTCTACCATAACAGTGATTTTATGGTGCATTTCATCGAACTGAAGTCTGAGGGGAATGGAAATCTTAGTTTTGTTCCAGTCTTTTCTCCAAATCGCTAGTTATAGGTTTATAGGAGGTAGCCTAGCATCAGTTGGATCTCCAGCAGCCCAGCTGTGTTTCTGTAGGAATGCATTCTGCATAGTTGCTCTTTTGATTGTTATTTCCAACCTATTAATGTGGCTTTCTCTGGTTCAAGAAATCTATATATGCTTGCAATGTGCTTATGTGAATGGGCGGAGTTGTCAATTAGTGTTTGTCATTGTTTTCTTTCTGGCTGGAATAGATTGCTCTTGTCTTTCGGGGAGGTTAAAAGTGGTTAAGGATGGGTTCCCATGTGGATGATTTGCAAGATGCTAATGCAGCTTCAACTTCAGAGCCAAAACCTGAAGAAAGTGGTAAGAGCTTATGGCTACTTCGTTTATTGATTTCCCGACTGCTGTCCGTTAAGTAATACTTTGCTGGTGAACTAACATTATAGTGGATGGGTTTTCTAGGCGTGGAAGCTCGGGTAGGAGCTTTGTGGGAGCAAATGAACAAGGGATTCAATAAGAACGCTAAGCATGAATCAAAGAAGCGTACTCATACTTCCTTACAGAAGCCCAATGATGTAAGAATAACCATTCTTCCTGTTTTCCTCAAGAGAGTATTTGGTGTTGAAAGCCTGACTTGTTATTCTTTTTTCAAGAATTGGATGACATATCTAGGTCTAACACCAAAGACAAATGGATCTCCTGCAAATGATGCGCAACAAAAGGGATCACCAGAGGAATTGAATAAGAGAATACCTAGCAAGGAAGTCGTGTCTTCTCCAAACAAGTCTAGTACAAGTGTGGATCAAACTTCGCAAAAGAAGTCTGATGTGAGGACTTCTCTAATATTTTTCTCTCTCTATGAAGCTTTTATATTTAATGTATAAATTAAGTTGTTACTTTGGTTATTGTCATAGAGCTGGAAGAATTATCTCGGTTTGGGAACAAAGCAGGCGGCACAATCATCGGCACTGGAGGCATCATCACAGGAGAAACCTAATGGTTTGCGTACAAGCACAAGTGAGGAGGCCAAGAAGTTTGCTGCTGCTGCTCTCTCCGCAGTTAAGGATGCTGCAGCTGCTGCCGCGCTCAAGGGAAAAGTTGAGGTGGGCTTTGATCTTATTTACCATATTAGCTGTCTGCCAATTATATCTAAACTCTGGGGACTGTTCAGTTTGAGCTAAGTTAGCTTATCATATACACGTCAAGGTCATGTTTGCTTGATGGGAAGAACTGTCCCAGCCGTTTCACTGTAATAGTTCTGAGAGATATGGGCGCCTTAAGTAGCAGGCTAACTGCTATGTTTTGCCAAAGCTTCGAATAGCTAGTGCCTTGGGTAACAACTATCCTATCCATCTCCGTCGAGTTTTTCATCTAAACTGTTGAGAATTGAAATCAGCGCCTCGAGTAGCCTTATTGTTAATAAGAAAAGGCTATATAAACCCTTTAATTAGGAGTAGGAGTAGGAAAGGATAAGGGTGGTCTGGGTGATGTGGTAGGAACAGGGTCGAGCAATGGTTTGATTTGGATCGTGTATGAGTTAAAGTAGGTCGTCCCAAGTCAGCTATATGGACTATATGACATTCTGATTCTTTCTTAGGATGAGATAGCACACTACTCGGGTCAATTTGGATAGATGTAATGGAGATGAACAAAATGAATTTAATGTTAGTTTTTTCAAACTTCAGTTAGTTAAAAGATAGAGTGACCAGCTTATCGATGACCTAAAGGTTCAGAGACCATATATGTAACTGATCCAAGAGGTATGCCGTATGCATCTAGAATTAAAGTGTTCCCATCGTCTCTCGGTGTGCACTATAGCAATGACTTCCGAGCTCGACGAGTTTGGTACCAACTTACAGAAGGCTTTTTGACTTTTGCAGATAATGGAGGTTCGGGATTTTGCTGGTCGTGATATCGAGGTGAAGAAGCTAGTTGATGCGGAGTCAAAAGAGGCAGCCGAAAAGGGGAAAGCAGCTGCAGCACCCTCTGCCGTGGATGCTGTGCTCGAACAAATCAAGAAGAAACAAAAGCTGAGTGTGCTGGACAAGACGAAGAAAGACTGGGGAGAGTTCAAGGAGGAGAATAAAGGGCTTGAAGACGAGCTAGAAACGTACAAGAAGAGCTCAAACCAGTATTTGGATAAGCAATCGTTCCTGCAACGAACAGACTATAGGGAGTTCGAGAGGGAGAGGGATGCCAGGCTGGCGATGCAAGCCAGGAGACGAACTGATATGCGCGAGGATTAATGAATCGCAGAGAAGAGGTTAGCATGGAGAGAAGAGAGACCCTCCTGAGGTTGAAAGGGTCTTGATTTCTGGTCAGGGTCTCAGGGATGACTTAGTTCGAGCCATTGTTTGATTCTGAATCGAGAGAAATGAGAGGAGCTGTTGGCTGCTGACGCCCTGCAGTAAACAAGAGGATGAAAGAGGAGCTGCTAGCTGCAGCTTTTCCCCGACCTCCATGATTGTATGAATGGATCTGAGGGAAACGATTTATTTGGGATATCCACTAACTCATCATTTTTTTCACAGGTTGTATTGATCGATTTGTGTATGCGGTATGCCTTGGAATTTACAGAGTGTTTATGTTGGGATGTTGCCATCTCTGTTTTCATTTCTCTTTACCACTAGTTTGATCAAATTCTCGTGCAAAATTGTTTACAATTTTGCTTGTTTAAGTGACATTTACATTATACAATTTTGCTTGTTTAATCACTGATTTTGGTAGATTTATTTTCAGATGACACTTTCATAATTTTTTAGCGATTTATTTCAAAATGCCAATTTCCTTGGATTTTGAAGGCTAGAGATCACGGATTCGGGCTGAGGCTATTCTTCCTCGATGATTAAGTCTATTAAGCACCAATTTAGGGGATTTATTTCGGGTCCATTTTGTGCAGATTCCAAAGTGTCCATCAAAGATTTCATGCGATTTTTTCCGAAATGTCATATTCTTTCAATTTTGAAGGTTACATATCACGGATTCGACCCGAGACTATTCTCCACACATAATGAAGTCTATTGATCCAATTCCCCACCGATGATTAAGTTCATTAAGCACTGAATTGGCAGTTTTATTTTCGGATGACATTTTCATAATTTTTTAGCGATTTATTTCAAATATCATTTTCCTTGGATTTTGAAGGCTGTGTGAGGCTTTTTTTTTTTTTAACATAGTCAAGATGTGTGAGGCTATTCTTCCTCGATGATTAAGTCCATTAAGCACCGATTTGGAGGTATTTTTCCAAGGTCCATTTTGAGCAGATTCCGAAGGGGTAACCATCATAGATTTCGGGCAATTTTTCGGAAATGCCATTTTCTTTCGATTCTGGAGGCTACATATCACGGAATCAGGCCGAGGCTATTCTCCACCGATAATGAAGTCTATTGATCATATTCTCCACGGATGATAACTCCATTAAGCACCGATTGGAGCCAATTTATTTTCGGATGGCATTTTGTAATTTTTTGGGCGACGAAAGGTCATTTTCTTTGGACATTGAAGGATAGAGAACACGAATTCGGCCTGAGGCTATTTTCAAACGATGATTGAGTTCATTAAGCACCGATTTGGGGGGGTTTTATTCCGGGTCAATTTTCAGATTCCAAAGAGGTACCATCACAGATTTCAGGCAATTTTTCCGAAATGCCATTTTCTTTCGATTCTGGAGGCAACAGATCACGGAATCAGGCCGAGGCTATTCTCCACCGATAATGAAGTCTATTGATCCTAATCTCCACGGATGATAAGTCCCTTAAGAACCGATTTGGGCCAATTTATTTTTGGATGACATTTTCGTAATTTTTTGGGCGACAAAAGGCCATTTTCTTTGGATATTGAAAGCTACATATCACGGATTCGGCCTGAGGCTATTCTTCATTGATGATTGAGTCCTTTAAACACCGATTTGGGCGGATTTATGCCGGGCAATTTTTGGCAGATTCCAAAGGGGTACCATCACAGATTTCGGACAATTTATCTGAAATGTCATTTTCTTTTGATTCTGGAGCCTATAGATAACGGAACGAGGCCGAAGCTATTCTCCACCGATAATGAAGTCTATTGATCCTATTCTCCACGGATGATAAGTCCATTAAGCTCCGATTTGAGCCAATTTATTTTCGGATGGCATTTTCGTAATTTATTGGACGACGAAAGACCATTTTCTTTTGATATTGAAGGCTACAGATCACAGATTCGGCCTTAGGCTATTCTTCAATGATGATTGAGTCCATTAAGAACCGATTTGGGGGGATTTATTACCTGTCAATTTTTGGCAGATTCAAAAGGGGTACCATTACCCATTTCGGGAGATTTTTCCGAAATGTCATTTTCTTTCGATTCTGGAGGCTACAGATCATGAATCAGGCCAAGGCTGTTCTCCAACGATAATTAATTCTATTGATCCTATTCTTCACGGATGGTAAGTCCATTAAGCACCGATTTGGGCCAATTTATTTTCAGATGGCATTTTCATAATTTTTTGGGCTACGAAAGGCCATTTTTTCTAGATATTGAAGGCTACAGATCACGGATTCGTCCTGAGGCTATTCTTCAATGATGAATGAGTCCATTAAGCACCGATTTGGGGGGATTTATTCCGGGTCAATTTTTGGCAGATTCGAAAGGGTTACCATCAAAGATTTCGGGCGACTTTTCTGAAATGCCATTTTCTTTCGATTCCGGAGGCTACAAATCACGGAATCAGGCTGAGACTATTCTCCACCAATAATGAAGTCAATTGATCCTATTCTCCACGGATGATAAGTCCATTAAGCACCGATTTGAGCCAATTTATTTTCGGATGGCAATTCATAATTTTTTGGGCGACGAAAGGCCATTTTCTTTGGATATTGAAGGCTACATATCACGGGTTCGCCCTAAGGCAATTCTTCAACGATGATTGAGTCCATTAAGCACCGATTTGGGGGGATTTATTCCGGGTAAATTTTTTGGCAGATTCCAAAGGGGTACCATCACTGATTTCGGCCGATTTTTCCGAAATGCCATTTTCTTTCGATTCTGGAGGTTATAAATCACGGAATCAGACTGATGCTATTCTCCGCCGATAATAAAGTCTATTGATCCTATTCTGCACGAATGATAAGTCCATTAAGCAGCGATTTGTGCCAAATTATTTTCTGATGGCATTTTCGTAATTTTCTGTGCGACGAAAGGCCATTTTCTTTGGATATTAAAGGCTACAGATCACGGATTCGGCCTGAGGCTATTCTTCAACGATGATTGAGTCCATTAAGCAACGATTTGGGAGGATTTATTCCGGGTCAATTTTTGGCAGATTCCAAAGGGGTGTACTTTCACAGATTTCGAACGATTTTTCCGAAATGCCATTTTCTTTCGATTCTGGAGGCTACAGATCACGAAATCAGGCCGAGGCTATTCTCCACCAATAATGAAGTCCATTGATCCTATTCTCCACGGATGATAAGTCCATTAAGCACCTATTTGAGCCAATTTAATTTCGGATGACATTTTCGTAATTTTTTGGGCGACAAAAGCTATTTTCTTTGGATATTGAAGGCTACAGATCACGGATTCGGCCTGAGGCTATTCTTCAACGATGATTGAGTCCATTAAGCACCGATTAGGGCGGATTTATTCTGGGACAATTTTGGCAGATTCCAAAGGGCTACCATCACAGATTTCGGGCGATTTTTCCGAAATGCCATTTTCTTTCGATTCTGGAGCCTATAGATCACGGAATCAGGCTGAGGCTATTCTCCACCGATAATGAAGTCTATTGATCCTATTATCCACGGATGATAAGTCCTTTAAGCACCGACTTGAGCCCATTTATTTTTGGATGACATTTTCGTAATTTTTTGGCCGACGAAAGGCCATTTTCTTTGGATATGGAAGGCTATAAATCACAGATTCGACCAGAAGTTATTCTTCAACGATTATTGAGTCCATTATGCACCAATTTGGGGGTTTGATTCCGGGTCAATTTTTGGCAGATTCCAAAGGTGTACCATCACAGATTTCGGGCGATTTTTCCGAAATGCAATTTCCTTTCGATTCTGGTGACTATCAATCACGGAATCAGACCGATGCTATTCTCCACGGATAATGAAGTCTATTGAGCCTATTCTCCACAGATGATAAGTCCATTAAGCAACGATTTGTGCCAAATTATTTTCTGATGGCATTTTCGTAATTTTATGGGCGACGAAAGGCCATTTTCTTTGGATATTGAAGGCTACAGATCACGGATTCGGCCTGAGAATATTCTTCAACGATGATTGAGTAGGTTAAGCACCGATTTGGGTGGATTTATTCCGGGTCAATTTTTTGCAGATTCCAAAGGGGTACCATCACAGATTTCGGCCAACTTTTCCGAAATGCCATTTTCTTTCGATTCTGGAGGCTATAAATCACGAAATCAGACCGATGCTATTCTCCGCCGATAATAAAGTCTATTTATCCTATTCTCCACGGATGATAAGTCCATTAAGCACCGATTTGTGCCAAATTATTTTCTGATGGCATTTTCGTAATTTACTGGGCGACGAAAGGACATTTTCTTTGGATATTAATGGCTACAGATCACGGATTCGGCCTGAGGATATTCTTCAAAGATGATTGAGTCCATTAAGCACCGATTTGTGGGGATTTATTTCGGGTCAATTTTTGGCAGATTCCAAAGGGGTGTACCATCTGAGATTTCGAACGATTTTTCCAAGATGCCATTTTCTTTTGATTATGGAGGCTACAGATCACGAAATCAGGCCGAGGCTATTCTCCACCAATAATGAAGTCCATTGATCCTATTCTCCACGGATGATAAGTCCATTAAGCACCTATTTGAGCCAATTTAATTTCGGATGACATTTTCGTAATTTTTTGGGCGACAAAAGCTATTTTCTTTGGATATTGAAGGCTACAGATCACGGATTCGGCCTGAGGCTATTCTTCAACGATGATTGAGTCCATTAAGCACCGATTAGGGCGGATTTATTCTGGGACAATTTTGGCAGATTCCAAAGGGGTACCATCACAGATTTCGGGCGATTTTTCCGAAATGCCATTTTCTTTCGATTCTGGAGCCTATAGATCACGGAATCAGGCTGAGGCTATTCTCCACCGATAATGAAGTCTATTGATCCTATTATCCACGGATGATAAGTCCCTTAAGCACCGACTTGAGCCCATTTATTTTTGGATGACATTTTCGTAATTTTTTGGCCGACGAAAGGCCATTTTCTTTGGATATGGAAGGCTATAAATCACAGATTCGACCAGAAGTTATTCTTCAACGATTATTGAGTCCATTATGCACCAATTTGGGGGTTTGATTCCGGGTCAATTTTTGGCAGATTCCAAAGGTGTACCATCACAGATTTCGGGCGATTTTTCCGAAATGCAATTTCCTTTCGATTCTGGTGACTATCAATCACGGAATCAGACCGATGCTATTCTCCACGGATAATGAAGTCTATTGAGCCTATTCTCCACAGATGATAAGTCCATTAAGCAACGATTTGTGCCAAATTATTTTCTGATGGCATTTTCGTAATTTTATGGGCGACGAAAGGCCATTTTCTTTGGATATTGAAGGCTACAGATCACGGATTCGGCCTGAGAATATTCTTCAACGATGATTGAGTAGGTTAAGCACCGATTTGGGTGGATTTATTCCGTGTCAATTTTTTGCAGATTCCAAAGGGGTACCATCACAG